ATTGACTGCAACTCCCCACAATGGAACAGCTCTCTTCCCACTTCCTCCCCATAGTTACCTCTTCCCTGTGTCCTTCCCTCCCATGCACTCCTGCCCTTGAGCTGTCTCCCTCTGCAAACACTGCCCTTCTATTCTCCCACGATTGATTGCTCTAAGGTGTGTATCCACGTGATGTAAATGTTCACCCCATATGCCTGCCTATTGCTTGGCTGGAAGCCACAGGAGTAAGTTCAATTCCAGACCTGAAGGGCAGCTAGGGCCATAGCTTCAGGCGTCTCAACAGGCTCTATCAGACCAACCGAAAACCAAACCAAACTCACTGCTGTGGAGTCGGAGCCGTCTCCTAGCTGCCGCTCCTTGAGTTTCCAAGGTGGTATCACTATGGAAGTAGATTGCCCAACCTTCCTCCCGAGGAGTGGCTGGTGGGTCGGAACCACCAGTCTTCTGGTTAGCAGTCAAGTGCCTTAGTCACTACGCTACCAGAGCTACTTCTGTTAGACCAGTAACAACACATATATTTTTAAATTAAGTCTGTTAAGTTGTAATGACGAAAGCTTTTGGGATGGTGGTGGAGAACAATGTTCAGAGACCTCCCCCTGGAGCACGTGGCGTTCGCATGGGTGCGGGAGAAATCACGGTCAGGACTCAGCTTTGGAAGGATCCTGCTGGATGTAGGACTGTGAGACCAGAGACCAGGTGGCCTATCAGGGCAGTTGTTATGGGTCAGGACCAGGATGACAGCAGCCTGGGGTGAGGGTGGTGGTCGCAGGAAAGGAGAGAAGTGCTTAATTTGGTTGATTGCTTTACTTCTTTCCAATCATCTTCTCCCTCACCATCAAATAGATACCTCCCATTTCTTTTTTTTTTTTTTTTCAATTTTTATTGTGGTTTGGGTGAAAGTTTACAGAGCAAATTCATTTTCCATGCAGCGGTTCATACACATTTTGTCTCATGACATTGCCTGCAACTCCTCACAAGGAAACAGCTCCCCTCCCGCTTCCTCCCTATAGTTAGCTCATCCCTGTCTCCTTCCTTCCCAGGCATTCCTGCCTCTTTGAGCTGTCTCCCTCTGCAAACACTGCCCTTTTGTTCTCCCATGATTGATCTCTCCAAGGACTGTATCTACCTGATGTCAATGTTCACCCCATATACCTGTCTATTGTTTGGCTGGAAGCCCAGGAGTGAGTTCAGTTCCAGACCTGAAGGGTAACAAGTGGCCATAGTCTCAGGGGTCTCACCAGGCTCTGTCAGACCAGCAAACCTGGTCCTTTAGTATGATTGTGAGTTTTGTTCCACATTGTTCTCCCACTTTATCCAGGATCTCCTGCACTGATCTGCCTAATCACCACAAGTGATTGGCAGTGGTAGCCAGGTACTACCTAGCTCTTCTGGTCTTATGGTCATGTTGGCTGAGTGTCTCATGGTCATGTCGGCTGAGACCGGTCATGGTCTACTAGTCTCTTGGACTAATTGTTTCCGTGTGTCTTTGCGCTTCCTCCTTCTTTGCCCTGGAGGAGGAGGAACCCGTTGTTGCATGTAGATGGCCACTTGCATAGGTCCCATTTCTTGAACAGTCTTCCCATGCCAGGAAATTGCAATGATTGTGAGGATGGTGCAGGACCAGGCAGTGAGTCATTCTGTTGTACAGAGGGTTGCTATGACAACAGCAGCAACATCAAATAAATGATAGAAACGTTTTCATTATGCTTGCATCCAGCCTGTGTGATAATCTTCGTCCCCTGATACTTGTCAGTCATATTTGCTTACGAGTGATGTATTATCTCTTGGAGGCTAGGGGCCGGGTTTTCACTCTTAATACATTTGAAAGGCTGTGTGTCCCAGGCCATGACACACAAGAGGATTTTGTTTCCAGTGCACATGGCTTTCTGTCATTTAGTACATGTTACAAGTTTAGTATTTTGATTCTTGTGGATGTAGTAGGGAAAAAAAAAAAGGTCACCACCATCAGGTTGATTCTGACTCATAGACTTGGGTTCCCAAGGCTGTAAATGTTTATAGAAGCAAACTGCCTTATCTTTCTTCCACAGAGTGGCTGGTGGGTTTGAAGCAGCAACCTTTTGGTTAGCAGCCAGATGCCTTAACCACTGCACCACCAGAACTCCTTATTTAGAAAAACAAACAACACTGAATTAGCTTATAAATAAAAAAGGGAAGTTGTAACTGTTGATATAATGTGTTGTAATTAAATGTAATTAAATGCACAAAGCACTGCTCCGTCCTTCACGTGTTTCCCCCTGTGTTTTCCACCCTATGGTTGTTATTAAGGATGCAATTGGTATTTGTTGCTAAGACTTGACTTTCTGATGAAAGCCCTTTACGTTAGGGAGGGCTGGGAAAATTAGAACCCGTGGTTAAGTTTGCAGAAGGATTTTATGTTCATTAAAAACAAACAAACAAACTGATTTCTATAAAATATACTCGTTCTAATTGTTGAGATAGTAAGGAACCTTCCTTCACCAGTGTTGGACAAATTTAGGACAAGAGGAAGAGGATGGTAGGTTGAGCTACTGAAGAACCTAGTTTTTAATAGTGTCAGGGAGATAAAAGGTAGGAATGAAATAAATTGCTAGCAATTCAAAGGATGTCACTGATGGTGTCCCTTTGAACTGCCCACCTCACTTGTAGCCCTGCTATGAAATCTGTTGTTTTTTTTTCCCATTGTATTTATCATTCATTCATTGTAAAAAAATCTATCCCCTTACTGGACCTGAGGGAAAATACGTGGTCTTTACCGGCATGCAGCTTAGGGGGTAACCATTGAATAAACTAGTTATGTAGAATGCATAGTAAGGATCATACATATATACCTCAACATAAAACAAAACTCCTCACAGCTGGACCAGCAAGCAACATCACAACAAGCAGGGAAAAGATTGAAGTTGTCAAGGGTTTCATTTTACTTGGATCCATAATCAACGCCCCTGAAAACAGCAGTTGAGAAATCAGACATTGTATTGCACTGGGAAGATCTGCTACAAGGGACCTCTTTAAAGTGTGAAAGAGCAAAGATGTCACTTTGAAGACTAAGGTGCACCTTATCCCAGCCATGGTATTTTCAGTAGTCTCATATACATGCAAATGCTGAATAATGAGTAAGGAAGACTGGAGAAGAGTTGATGCCTTTGAGGAATGGTATCGGTGAAGAATGTTGACTATACTGTGGACTGCTGGGAGAATGAACAAGTCTGTCTTGGAAGTACAGCCAGAATGCTCCCTGGCAGTGAGGATGGCAGAACTTCGTCTCGTGTGCCTCAGTCAGGAAGAGCCAGCCTCTGGAGAAGAACGGCGACAGAGGGGACCCTCAGCAAGGTGGGTGGACATGCTGGCCGCAGTGCTGAGTCAGGCACAGCAAGGGTGATGAGAAGCATGGCGTGCTCGGTGGAGTGGGGGTTGGTGAAGAAGGGGAAGGCTCTCCACAAGATGGACTGACACAGTGGCTGCAACGATGGGGTCAGGTACAGCAGGGGTTGTGAGGCTGGCCCAGGACCGGGCGGTGTTTCCTTCTGTTGTCCCTAGGGTTGCTGTGAATCAGAGCTGATGGGACAGCACCTAACAACAACAACAACAATGTAGGCTCACTGTGAGTCTGCAATGACTCGACCAGATGGCACGTAACAGCAACAACATACTGCATGATAGTTAGAGGTGTACAGACTTACCAAGTTGCAATTAATGACTATGTTTGTTATAGTTATTGTTGAGTCGATTCCGACTCAGCGCCCCTAGAGGACAGAGCAGAATTGCCACATAGGGTTTCCAAGGCTGTCAGTCTTTACAGAAGCAAAGCCCAAACCACACCCACTGCCGTGGAGTCGATTCTGACTCACAGCGCCCCTAGAGGACAGAGTGGAACTGCC